CTCCCCCCTCCCCCCAACCCAACAACCAACTACCGGGCGACAAAATTAAGGCTAAGGCGAGGCCTATTAGACATATGAGCTAAAAATAGATGATGTAATGAAAGAAAACAGACATCACTGAACTGCCTGACAGAAGCAGAGGTGAGCTGTATAAATTCATTCGTGCAATAGAAAATGTGCACCAAACAAAGATTATATAGCAAGCTGAGCCTTAAGCTCAGTCTCTCTATGGTTTCCTTTGTCTCCAATATATAATCTGAATTACATCATACATTTTAGACACGAACAGGGTTACAGTAGCAGCCTATATTGGTTGCTCCCATCCATCAACATCCCATAAAAATATGATAGATTATACTATGGATGCATACGGGCGTAAGACTGTTCATGTTTAGTATCTTAAGTCAGTGAATCAAGTGAGTGGAATTAGTACCTCAGATTAGTAGATCTAACTAGGATTTTGTGTTAAGTAAGTTATTAAACACAGAGGCGAGGTTGCAAAATTGCAGCGATTAGACCTGATATTGATTAACTGAAAGGTAGGCTTTGATCAGATCAGGTTCCTAATCTTTTCGAATATTTTCTTCAAAACATAGATCGAGACCTAATCTTTCAAAATTCTTATCAATCTTATTCTTTCCTGTGAAAAGAGACGTTAGAGGATTTGTTAGTGCACTAATAAACACAGCAGTGTTAGGGGACTCCCGTGGCCTAGAGGTTCAGGTGTTTGCCTCTCATTCAAAGGTGCCGGGTTTGAATCTGTGTAGTGACCGAAACATTTTCTTCTCTTAAATAATATCCTTTCACCTCCTTTCCAGCTCTCTAGCAATGTTCTGCGTCTCCCCCTCCCCCAATCTCCTTCCCCCCCTCCTCTGGGCTCCTGACTCTTTCTGCAACCTTTCTACTGCTTCTCATTGGCTCCTTCTTACTGCTGTCTTTAAGCCACACCTCTGATCTTTTTGTAGGTAAGATCTACACCTAGCCTTCTTGGACAAGGGAGGAAAATCTCGGAGGTCCCGTGTGCAAGTTACCAACTTTAAAGATCACATAGTAGTCCAAAATCGATAAGAGTAGGCTTCGCCGCCACCCGGGCAAAATTCAAAATTTCCTACCAACTGGAAATGTTTGGTGTTTCCGGCGCGCTCATATGACCTAATGCATCTTCGAGCGCCATCAAACACTTACACACTCAACAAAAAACAAACAAAAAAACTAGCAGTTTTGCACCATACTCTCTGGTCTCGTTTTCTTCAGTCATCCATTTCCAGATTAATCAAACGTTTGCTGACGGTGAATTCACTGTGTAATGATGGTGAATCCGGAAAGGGACTAGAGATTTCACATGATTGCACTTTTAAGAGAATCTCTTTGGATTAAAACACAACGTTAGTATCTAATAAACACCTTCCTTAATAAGAGCAGAGACAAGCCCTCTCGTATGTAAACAAACTTCTTAGCCAACCCAAACATGACCGCCAACGAACTCGCAAGTTTGCGTGCCACGTGACCTCGTACGGTCTCTAGTCTAGTCTAAAAAGGAGATAACTCTTTTTTTTTTTGGGGGGGGGGGGGGCACTACACCGAGATTTGTCTGTATATAATATATATATATATATATATATTTATATGTATATAATATTTTATTACGTATAATATAATATATTTTTTATTATTCATATATGTACATTTTATAGCGTATAACTTATATTATATACATCTCTTTCAGGAGTGAAGAGGTTCTCTTTGCTGCCAAGACTCTCACAGTGAGCACAGTTTTTACCTGGTTTTGTGTCTTGTGCAGCACCACACTGAATGTACTGCCACGATGCCGCCTTTACAAGCCGCAAATTGTAGGCCAACAGGTAAAATTGACTTTTTTCTTCATGTTTAGTTTTGTGTACAACCATTTTGAAACGTAGAGTACATTGTATTGGTCTAACTTTACTGATACTATTTTTCAAAGCATAGTATTTTTTTTTCTTTTAACTAAATCTCTTTCCTTTCTTTTTTCTGTCGAGTTTCGTGCCTTCAACGCTGTCTCGATGCTTTTCTCGATTCAGGACCTGTTTTTTTTTTACCAATGTTATTTCAACACCTATTTTCTTCGAAGGATATTTTGACACTCACCACCATCCTCACTCCACCCCCCCACACCCACCCCCTTTTCGGGACCCCTTCCGCCCGATTTCAATACAGGCATAAACAAGCTATAATATGCTCTAAACAAAAAGCTATACTATAATTGATATCACAATTATTTTAGGAACATGGTTGGTGCGTAAGTTGTTGAAATTAATATCCTTCTCGCATTGTTCCTTTAAATGAAGACTGAAACAAAATAACTTTCCACTTATTCGGACATAGTGTCTCTTCTCTTATAGTACTTACGAAAGAAATCGCACCCCCCCCACTACTCACTTAGCCACTGAAACCCCCAACACACGACACGTCACAGCTGCGAGCTCTAGTAAAATAAATAGTCTAGGTTTATAGCTGGTTCACTTTCATGTTACCACGGTTAAGATAAGCTAAAATAATATCGCTGGGGGCTCCAGTGTCTAAGTGAGCTGTGAGTTCAGACTCAAGTAATGTCAAGCAAGTGTCAATGACACGGGGTTTAGATGGGTGGTCTCTGGGGTGTGTCCTTGAACAAGACACGACAACCCCAGCTCAAAATACAGGGCGCTGCACAATGGCGACCGGCAATGACATGGTTGTAAATTGTTCTGTACTGGTGTAATATTAAAATGTGTCTTTATGTATGTATTTGTGCATGTTTGCATGTATGTATGTATGTGTGTATGTATGTTTGTCTTTGTAAACCACATTGCCCTTCTGAGATCAATAGAAGTGTAATTTATTTTAAATTATTTTATTATTTATTTAATCTTCTCAGATCTCTGAATACAGGTCTTGAAGTTGGATGACCAACAGAACTTAAAAGCCAATTCATAAAGGACACTGAAAACTGCGGTTCCGGCACCTCAGTTGTCCCTTTTGCAACCCAAGGAATGCATAATGTTTCGCTTTTCAAAACATTTCCGTGGAAGCCACAGTAAATGGAGAGACCAACTGGTATATTTGAATGTACTTTCTGATCCTACTGAAAATTATCGAAAAGCAAAACAATCTATTATTAAGCCCTAGTTTTCCCTGGAAAGCAACATTTAGTGTATTATTTGTAAAAAAAACCAAACTTTTTTTTCCTTACCAAAATCATCTATAAGTTCTTCGTTATCCAAATAATAAGTACAATTTTAAACTATATATTTTTTTCACTTATTAACGATCGTTTCGAAACAAAATGTAAACAATGACGATGAGATGTAAAGTGAAGCGTTGGACTGATTTTGTTAATTTTGTTTTAATTCTTTTTTGCATGCTACTGTTGTAGTTTAATCATATAAAGAACATGCATACACACTACCACGCCACCTGGCGGATTGGGGGAAAATTAAAATAACACATGTACTTAATCGTTTGTTAGAAATGAATGATAAACATATTTTTATTATGATGAGTAACTTTTGTTTCGGTTTTTTTCGGGGGTGGGGGTAGGGGG